TTACGTGTTTTCCTTCAATTTAGCCAGAAGAACTATCGGTGCTAAGTCTGCTTCCGGTACGCCACGATCAGGCCAATCTTGCCAGTGGTAATGTAAACAGGTGTGCACAGGCTGTCCAGGTGCACTAACCTCCAAAGTGCGAACGAGTATATGTACGTGAGTTTTGAATGGAAATGGGAACTGAAATGTAAGGCTCTCAGTCTGCCTAAATAGTCGTAGCAACCTACCGGCTCTTGCTTTTTCAATTCAACGATAACACCCTCAAAATTTAGTGGCTTATCTTCCTCTACAGGGAAGTACTCCGCACATTTCTTTGCATTCTATCATGGATGGAGCAATCAGTTTCAGATGGATAGTTTGCTTACTTACTTGTTCTATAAAATTACAGAGCATCAGAATAGCCACAGATTTTTCTTGTACGACCATATACCAGAATTCGGGACAGGTTTTCGGGAGAGGTGCCTAAGTGTGACGGAGTGGAGTAAAAATAGAAAGAGGCATGACACTGTTACAAACGCCACCTGAGTACAGATGAACCGTTTTGGATTGGTTGGGGAGGATACATAATTTGCATGAATATACGATACAGGGCCAATATGCAAAACAACACGGTCTTTATCCAAGCATCCAACGTCCTGTAAGAATTCATTAAGCTATCCTTAGTACCATGAGAAAAAACACAGCTTCAACTTTTTTGAACCTTATATCTATTTCTTCCTTGAGGATTTTGTGCGAGGAACTCTTGCATTTTCGTGAAGTCATTCATGCGTTTCATAGATTTAAACTCTATTATCAATCCCTTCACACCTTTTCGAAAGGTTTCTTCTACGAATACTTTGACCTGCATGGTATCTCTCTCTCCTTATGGAGTAAGGCTTTGAACAAATTACTTGTGCCTTTTTTGCAGCTCTCGATGCACGATGTACGGATGACTCCTTCGAAGCATGATGTGCAGATGTGTCTTCAGCGCTTCGATGTTGGTGTGTCGACCATGCTGTTGATGTTCTGAAAGGACCAAACTTGATTCCATTCTCTTCGTATTCTAAAAGAAGAAGTGCTTGGAACTGTTCTGCGTGGAACTTGTAAGTAGTAATCATAGAAATCCTCTGGTATAAGGATATGAGTAGCATCAGCTGTCATATAAAGGACATAACACTCTAAATAGGCTTGGACAAATTTTGCAAGTCTGCGGACTACACAGTAGTTTTTTTTCTCTTGGGCATTAGTTCGTAGCGTATCTGGATGAAGTACTGCAGAATTAGCATACACCTTCTAAAACAGGGTATGTATGAGTTGCAACAGACTTGAGGAAATTGGGCCTATGAGAACCGTTCGGGATGGTGTCCGCAGTATCTCTCATTGAAACTATGGACACAATGTCTTTTTTGACTCTTGAAGGCCTATCTCAACGAAATGTGGTTGACAGGAGTTTGCATGTCACAAGCCTTCCCTTTTCGACCTCGACCAACCCCACGCGGGTTCAGTACTTGCGCAGAGTCAGGCAGATGACGCTCAAGACCTCGTTTTTAAATGCTCGTGATGATTGGATAAATTGGCCATGGGACCTGACTGCTCGGCGCGAACCATTCTGATTGCACCTTTAAAGGTCACGAGTCGGATTAGTTGCAATAGCAGATTTAGTAGATCCTATAGTATATATGGAAACCCGCGCGATTTGGTTTTGGTTGGACATTGCTTTCAAATTAGTCGTACATGTGCCGAGTCGAT